GCTACCCAGGAGGTTAAGGCAGGAGAATCAGTGTAACCAGGGAGATGGAGGCTGCAGTTAGCTGAGATCATGCCATTGCACTCCAGCTTGGGAGACAGAGTGAGACTCCGTCTAAAAGGAAAAAAAAAATTCAGGCCAGGTACAGTGACTCACACCTATAATCCCAGCACTCTGGGAGGCCAAGGCGAGCAGATCATCTGAAGTCAGGAGTTTGAGACTAGCCTGACCAACATGGAGAAAACCCCGTCTCTACTAAAAATACAAAATTAGCCAGGTGTGGTGGCGCTTACCTGTAGTCCCAGCTACTCGGGAGGCTGAGGCAGGAGAATTGCTTAACCCCAGAGGTGGCAGCTGCAGCGAACTGAGATCTAGCCATTGCACTCCAGCCTGAGCAATAAGGGCGAAACTCCATCTCAAAAAAAAAAAAAAAAAAAAAGACAGTGTCTTGCTCCATCCTTGCTCTATCACACAGGCTGGAGTGCAGTGACACAAATAGCTCTCTGCAACCTTGAACTCCTGGGCTCAAGTGATCCTCCCACCTCAGCCTCCTGAGTTGCTAGAGTACAGGGGTGTGCCACCACACCCAGCTGATTTTTTTTTTTTTTAAGAGATGGGGTTTCACTATGTTGCCCAGGCTGGTCTGAAACTCCTGGCTTCAGGTGATACTCCTGCCTCAGCCTCCTAAACTGTGCTGAGGTTATAGATGTAAGCCACTGTGCCTAGCCTGGGAGAGGATTTTTCTTTTCTTTTTTTTTTGAGACAGAGTCTCAGTTTGTCGCCAGGCTGCAGTGCAGTGGCACAATCTCAGCTCACTGCAACCTCGGCTCACTGCAACGTCCACCTCCCGGGTTCAAGTGATTCTCCTGCCTTAGCCTACCAAGTAGCTGAGATTACAGGCACCCGCCACCACGCCCAGCTAATTTTGTATTTTTAGCAGAGATGGGGTTTTCTCCATGGTCTTGAACTCCCAACCTCAGGTGATCTGCCCACCTCAGCCTCCCAAAGTGCTTGGATTATAGGCATGAGCCATCGTACCCCTGTAGAAAAGGATTTCTTTTTTTCTTTTGCGATTGAGTCTTACTCTATCCCCCAGGCTGGAGTGCAGTGGTGCGATCTCGGTTCACTGCAACCTCTGCCACCCAGGTTCAAGCAATCCTCCTGCCTCAGCCTCCCGAGTAGCTGGGATTACAGGTGCCTGCCACTGCACCTGGCTAATTTATTTATTTATTTATTTATTTTGTATTTTTAGTAGAGAGAGGGTTTCACCATTGGCCAGACAGGTCTTGAACTTCTGACCTCCGGTGATCCACCTGCGTTGGCCTCCCAAAGTGCTGGGATTATAGGCATGAGCCACTGTGCCCAGCCATGGAAAGGATTTCTTATCACCGGTTTATAGCTACAGATTGTGCCAAACTGATGGCCAATCCATATCTGAGAACTAAGTAAACATAAGGTCACTGCCCCAACGTTATTGAGGAGGATCATCATCAAGATCAAGGGGCTTCATCTTTAGGTTGCTCCATCACCACCTGTGCCTGCTCCTCTCACTCTTCCCAGAGGCTTCCATAGACCCAAAAGCTCACACTTGCCATGATGACGCTGGGAACCAAACCCAAAGCTTTATCTGAGCCTTGAATCAAATCTAATTAGACTGGAATGGTCCTGAGTGAGACAGTTAATTCACTGTTGGCCACTCCTGACTCCTGACTGTTAATTGAGTATTAAGGACTATGCTCTGGCTTCCCAGGCTCTCATTCAGTATCAATATGGTCCCATTTACTGCCCAGTGCTATAAGCATGTAACAGCCAGATTTTCTTTTTTCTTTTTTTTTTTTTTTGAGATGGAGTCTCATTTTGTCACCGAGGCTGGAGTGCAATGGCACGATCTCAGGTCACTGCAACCTCCGCCTCCTAGGTTCAAGCAATTTTCCTGCCTCAGCCTCCTGAGTGGCTGTGATTACAGGCACACGCCGCCATGCCGGCTAATTTTTTATATTTTTAGTAGAGATGCGGTTTCACCGTGTTCCCCAGGCTGGTCTTGAACTCCTGAGCTCAGGCAATCCACCCACCTTGGCCTCCCAAACTGCTAGAATTACAGGTGTGAGCTACCACACCAGTACTGACAGCCAGATTTTCTGCAGAACCCACCTTTCCACTTAAAATCTGAGAGTGGGCCAGATGTGGTGGCTCACACCTGTAACCCCAGCACTTTGGGAGGCCAAGGTGGGTGGATCACCTGAGGTCAGGAGTTCGAGACCAGCCTGACCAATATGGGAAAACCCCATGTCTTAAAAACAAAAAAAGAGACAGAGGAAAAAAAAAAATCTGAGAGGCCGGGCATGGTGGCTCACACCTGTAATCTGAGCACTTTGGGAGGCCGAGGCAGGCAGATCACCTGAGGCCAAGAGTTCAAGACCAGCCTGGCCAACATGGTAAAACCCTGTCTTTATTTTTTTTAATTTAAAAAAATAAATAAATAATAAATAAAAACAAATAAAAAATTTGAGAATGACAGTGGGCCAGGACTGAATTCTCCACAACGCTGACCACTCTGCAATAACCACCTGGTATTCTACAGTAGCCCCTTCACCCCTAGGCCCACCGGTCCTAGTTACTGATATAAATCTTCACACCACCCGCTTGACTCCTATTCAACCATCTCCTAAGAGTGGTACAAACAGATACCCTCCTCTGTGCCTACAACAGAGTCGGCCTGAAGAGGAAAGCTTCCCTCCCTTCCTTGTGCCACCTTTGAGAGATATGACATGGGGATGCCCCTAGAGAATGCTACCCCCCTCCCCAGCAGAAGGAAGTCCTTGATGGACCCCAAAGCCACATCCGGAAGCTGTCAGGGAAGGTGCTACAGCATAGGACCTCAAGCGCTGAAGGCAAAGTAAGTGGCGTGAGGCTGTTGGATGACTTTTTTTTTTTTTTGAGAAGAAGTTTCACTCTTTTTGCCCAGGCTGGAGTACAATGGCACAATCTCAGTTCACTGCAACCTGTGCTTCCTGGGTCCAAGCAATTCTCCTGCCTCAGCACCCCCAAGCAGCTGGGATTATAGGCGCACGCCACTACACCCAGCTAATTTTGTATTTTTAGCAGAGATGGGGTTTCACCATGTTGGTCAGGCTAGTCTTGAACTCCTGACCTCCAGCAATCCACCCACCTCAGTCTCCCTAAGTGCTGAGATTACAGGCATGAGCTGCGCCAGCCATCTGTTGGGTGACTCTTGAAGGAAATGCTGGCTGGAGCCAGAGAAGGCCTGGCCCACACCCATGGGAGGAAAGCTGGGCCACAGAAGGGAGCTACTCCAGAGCTTTTTCACATCCACAGATGTGCAAGACGCATGGATAGCAGCTTGGCAGGTCCACACCTGAGGGGGCTCTATGAGGAACTTCCTAGAAGAGGGGACACTCACTGCCTTGGCAAAATCCTGTTGTCCTGCAAAGCCCACTTCCCTCCCACATAAAGCTGGCACACACTCTCTTCTTCACAGCCTTCCCAGCATACCACTGGGCTGCCATGCTCACTGCTTCCTGCAGTCAGTCTTGTCTTCCACTCAGTCAGCATCCTTCCTAAGGACCAACCAGCTCTCACTATTCTGTACCTTCCTTTGGCTCCCAACAGTGCTAAAACCTCACACATTTGGGAGGTATCTGGACTACCACTGGATTCAAAGACACAAACTGATGGCATGCTGGTTGAATCTGACCCACAGGTTAGTGTTTGTTGGCACACAAGAAGCTGATTAAATATGTGAATTAGAATATTCTTTTAGTTTTTTTTTTTTTCTTGAGACGGAGTCACTCTGTCGCCGAGGCTGTCGATCTCAGTTAATTGCAACCTCTGCCTTCCGGGTTCAAGCAGTGTATCAGAATATTCTAACATTTTAAGATTAGATTTTCTGGCCAGGAGTGGTGTCTCATGCCTGTAATCCCAGCACTTTAGGAGGCCAAGGCAGGCAAATCACCTAAGGTCTGGAGTTCGAGACCAGCCTGGCCACCATGACAAAACCTCGTCTCTACTAAAATATAAAAATTGGCCGGGCGAGGTGGCACATGCCTGTAATCCCAGCTACTTGGGAGGCTGAGGTAGGAGAATCACTTGAACCCAGGAAGCGGAGATTGCAGTGAGCCGAGATTGTGCCACTACACTCCAGCCTCCAGCCTGGGCAACACAGCGAGACTCCATCTCAAAAAAAAAAAAAAAAAAGATCAGATTGTCTAGCTTCTCTTTTTAAAAAAATCAGAATATCTGGACACATAAGAAGCTCCTTGTGTGGCAAAACTGGACAGAGATAAGAAGCTGCTCTCTGAGATGGGTATGTTCAGTCTAGCTTGCCTGGGGCCCCACGGAGCAGGTGCTGGGAAGGCCCTGCCCACATTCTCTCAGCTCACCCCTGAGCCCATCTGCAGCTGCGGCACACTGCTCTGTGCCTGGTGACAGCTTCCCACTGCCAGTGCCTGCATCTCTCTGCTTCTCTGCCTGAAGACTTTCTTCAGCACTAGTTGGCAACAGGACAGCCAAGAAGCGCCAGGGATTTGGTACCTTCAAAGAAATTCTCAACCCATGAGGTACAGGAGTCAGTGAATTAAAAGGAAAAAAAAAGAAGAAACTCACATTCCTGCCCTTCGGTGGTACAACATGAGGCCCATTCCACATGGTTATTACCAAGGTCCCCAGTGGCCCACAGTGGCAATAGACTTCTCAATATACTCTACTGACTTTCTCCCTTTCCCACCTCACTTTCTCCACTCCTTCACCTGTAATTACTCGAAGCACATCCCAAATAAACTATCTGGTCCCAAGTCCTTGCCTCGGAGTTCACCTTGAGGAAACCCAAACTACATTCAGACAGTCTCACTTTTTCCCTTTTATGTGACCTGCTTGGCCCTCATGAACATAGCCCTGAGGACGTACCTCTGGCTGAGAGTGGCAGGATATACCTGCCCCTGCAGGTGCCTCCCCAATATCCCAGGACAGGGACAGGGAAGACTCACCTCCCCCGAATAACTGTACTTGCCCCTGAGGATCTGCCGGTATAGCCGGGTGCGGTTGTCATCCTCAAAGGGCATGGTGCCACTGAGCAGGATGTAGGCAATAACGCCCAGCGCCCACATGTCCACTGAGTTGGTGTAGGGCTTGCGGACCAGGACTTCTGGGGCAATGTATTCGGGCGTGCCACAGGTGGTCTTCATCAAGCAGTCATCACCCTTCTTTCGGGCACTGGCCAAGCCAAAGTCGGTGATAATGATCTTAGAGTCAGTGCCTGGATGGTAATAGAGCAGATTCTCAGGCTTGAGGTCTCGGTGTGTGATGCCCAGTGCGTGCAGATACCGGACGCCATCCAGCACCATCTGCAGCACCCGTGTGGCGTCACGCTCGGTGAAGGATCCCTTGGCAATGATGCGATCGAAGAGCTCTCCACCCGTGGCCAGCTCCATCACCATGTACACCCGCTCCTGTGTCTCGAACACCTCCACCAGCTGGATGATGTTGGCATGACGCACCCGACGCAGCACGCGAAGCTCCGACTCACACACCTCCCGCCCCTCCCGGTACTTGGTCTCGATCATCTTGATGGCATATGGCTGCCGGGTTGCACGATGCTCCACACGTACCACTCGGCTGAAGCTGCCTCGGCCAATTAGGGCCTTGATGTCATACTTAGCTGTCACACGTGGGTCAAACTTGGCCCTGTACTTAGCTACCCTGGCCCTGCATGGTGGTTCTGAGGGAGGCTCTGTGTGGCCAGCAGTTGGGGTACTGGAGCAGGGGTGTGCATGTTGACTTGCTGCCGGGAACCCGGCTTTGACAGGGCCAACACTGTCCACCTCTGTAATGAAGTGCTTGTACACATCACTCTTAGTGCCACTGAAGGGCTCCACCTTCTTGACCAGATCCAGCTGGACATCCTTAGGTGGCTCAGGAAGGACCTTGCTTGTCCCACAGCCCATCACGGACACGAGGGCATCCTCTCCAGAGAGGCTGGCAGGACCTGCTCTGAAGGCAGTGCCCCGTCTACACCTATGCACAAAGAGAGAACAAGTCAGCACAGCCAGGAAAACTCAAAGGAAACCAGCCATGCTCCTCAGCCCTCCCTCTCCAGAAATGCAGTCTCATTAAAACCAAAGTCTTGGCCGGGCGCGGTGGCTCAAGCCTGTAATCCCAGCACTTTGGGAGGCCGAGGTGGGTGGATCACGAGGTCAAGAGATCAAGACCATCCTGGTCAACATGATAAAACCCCATCTCTACTAAAAATACAAAAATTAGCTGGGCATGGTGGTACGTGCCTGTAATCCCAGCTACTCAGGAGGCTGAGGCAGGAGAATTGAACCCAGGAGGCGGAGGTTGCGGTGAGCCGAGGTCGTGCCATTGCACTCCAGCCTGGGTAACATGAGTCAAACTCGATCTCAAAAAAAAAAAAAAAGAAAAAAAAATCCCAAGTGCTGGCTCTCATATATTTTCTGCGTCAGGAGTATGGCTTTGCTGTTCAAGAGCCCTGGCTCAACACAGGGTCTAGCTGAATGGATGGCCTGAGCTTCACAGCTTTGACTCATATCTCCCTGGGCCTCAGTCTCATGCTGCTCTTCAACCCTGAGAGGCGGCAGGAACACACACAGCCTCAGCTGTCAGGGCGCCCACCCTCCTCACTCCTCTGCTGGGGCCCCTTATCCTAGCTGAAGTCCCATGTTCCTAAAATGTTAAAATCATTCCTCTTATTACTCTGACTCATCTTTTCTGAAATGGGGGTGTGAAGTGTTGGAGGCCTGCTCTCTAACACCATCACCCACCAGGGCTCAGAAAGCTGCTTCTCCAAGGCCTCCTTCAAGGATATCTTTCCCAGCCCTTTAGGCCTCCTACAGGGGTTGGTCCCATTGCAACAAACAACAAACCACTTCCCTGGGACTCTGCCCTAACCTCATTCTCCTGGAAGGTTTCCACTTCTTTGCTAATGCACCATACCCACCCTGGCAGTTTAACTCCCTGTTCCATTGTCTCTCACTTCCCCAGCACACTGCATGGATGGCTGAAATCCCACACAAGGCTCAGAGCTGCTGGAATCAATCCCAGTGAACTTGGGACCACAAGACTCAGCGCACTGCCACTGGGTGACTGCAAAACCTTCCTGGTCTTCATTCAAGAGTCAGAGGTGGGGCCAGGCGTGGTGGCTCATGCCTGTAATCCCAGCACTTTGGAAGGCCAAGGCAGGCAGATCACCTGAGGTCAGGAGTTCGAGACCAGCCTGGCCAACATGGTGAAACCCTGTCTCTACTAAAAATACAAAAATTAGCTGAGCGTGGTGATAGGGGCCTATAATCCTAGCTACTTGGCGGCTGAGACAGGAGAATCGCTTGAACCCCAATGGTGGAAGTTGCAGTGAGCTGACATTGCACCACCACACTACAGCCTGGGTAAAAGAGCGAAACTCCGTCGCAAAAAAAAAAAAAAAGAATAAGAGAGGCTTGAGCTCAGAGAGAACACTCACAGTTTCACCCAGATTTAACTCAGAATAAAGATCGGGGTATCCTGCTCCCTTACAATGAAGATCCAGGAGCCAGTTCTTCCAGTTTGAGTCCCAGACAGAGATGTTCAAACTATGAATACCCTGAGGCTTGGGAGGCCTGGACAAGGTGCAGTGCTGAAGTTACTGCTTTCCAGAGGTCACCACCTGTCTACTGAGAGGGCCCTTCTCTGTGTCGACCTGAGGCCCCCAAGGGTTGAAAAGAGCTAGGATTTCCTACTAATTATGACATACGCGATGGGCTCAGTGGCTCACTCCTGTAATCCCAACACTTTGAAAGGCTGAAGTGAGCGGATCGCCTGAGGTCAGGAGCTCAAGACCAGCCTGGCCGACATGGCAAAATGTCGTCTCTACTAAAAGTACAAAACCATTAGCTGGGCGTGGTGGGGCACACCTGTAACCCCAGCTACTTGGAGGCTGAGGCAGAAGAATCGCTTGAACCCGGGAGGTCGCGGTTGCAGTGAGCCAAGATGGCGCCACTGCACTCCAGCCTGGGTGACAGAGCAAGATCTGTCTCAAAAAAAAAAAAAAAAAAAATGACACACAGAACTGAAAGAGAAATGATCAATTAAGACAAGACATTTATTGAATATCTAGTAGATACCAGGGGCACAGGAATAAATAAAACATGGTCCAATGTACCAATGTAGGTCATATTTTAACACACACGTAGAACATGCTCAATTAACTCACAATCTAAATAAAAATAAAAACATAAAAACAGATACTTTCTTTTTTTTGAGACATTTGCTGCCATCAACAGCAGCAGAAGGAGGCCCCGGCAAGTTTTACTATGGCATCTTGAGGACCACAGAGAGCCAGGTGCTGTGGCTCACGCCTGTAATCCTAGCACTTTGGGAGGCCGAGGTGGGTGGATCACCTGAGGTCAGGAGTTCAAGACCAGCCTGGCCATCATGGTGAAACCCCATATTTAAAAAAAAAAAAAAAAAAAGCGGACCACAGAGAACCCACAGAGACCATCAGACCTGTACTTTACCCAGGCTGGAGTATACTGGCATGATCTCAGCTAACTACAACCTCTGCCTCCCAAGTTCAAGCAATTCTCATGCCTCAGCCTCCTGACTACCAAGGCGCCCACCACCATGCTTGGCTAATTTTTGTATTTTTAGTAGAAAAAGGGTTTTGGTATGTTGACCAGGCTGATCTCCAACTCCTGACCTCAAGTGATCGCCGGCTTTAGCCTCCCAAAGTGCTAGGATAACAGGTGTGAGCCCCTGCACCCAGCCAAAAACATAATTTCAATATGACATGGTGTTAAGCTTAAGAACCAACAGCAGATAATGTAGAATGAAGCTGGGGTTAGGAATAGCTTCCTGATGGAGGTGATCTCCATGATGAATCTTTTTTTTTTTTTTTTTTTCATTTTATTTTTATTAAGCACTACATAACACACTGCATGCTACATAATATACTGTATAATCTTCTAGCAGGGGTAGATGACCATAACTGAGTTATTTTTTCATCAATCAGGAAAATGCTTCTTTAATCAATGTTCTCCAAACCCTTTGACTTATAGTAAAGATCAACTCCAGAGATGCGCCTATCTCTTTCCATCAAATTCCATGGATACAAAACATGAGCAATCCTTTTTTCCTTGCCACCGTTAGTGAACTTCTGGATGTACGCGGTAGACACTCCTGGAATAAGCAAGCACACGCCCATGGCGGCGAGTCCAGGGAGTATCTCGAACCACATCTCTGCCCGGTTACCTAGGCCAAAACCCTACTTCAAGGTCCTTGAACCATGATGAATCTTATAGCAAGAGTCACATGAAGAAAGGTGGGAATGGTGTTTCAGGGAGAGAATAACACACTGCAATGGCTCAGAAACACAGAGTAACCTCCTGTGTCTGGGAATGGGCAGTTTGGTGGCACAAGGTCAGGGATGTGGAGATGAAGTTATAGAAGGTCAGCAGAAGCTGGTTATGGAGAGCAACACAAGTAAGGACCAGGACCTTTCTGGGAAGTGAAGGAGAGCTATGAAAGCGTTTACGAGGAAAGAGGCAATCAGATCTGTGCTTAGAGAGAAGGATGATGTTAACCTGGAGGAGGTTCAGAGTGGATTAAAAGGGCCAGTGAGAGTGGGGTGCCACCTTGGCCAGGTGTGGTAATCCCAGCACTTCGGGATGTGGAGGTGGGAGGACAGCTTGAGTGCAGGAGTTTGAGACTAGCCTGGAGAACACAGTAAGACCCTGTCTCTACAAAAGATTAAAAATTAGCTGGGTATGATGGCATGCACCTGTAGTCCCAGTTACTTCGGAGGCTAAGGCAGGATTGCTTGAGCCCAGGAGTTCAAGGCTGCAGTGAGCTATGATCACACTACTGCACTCTAGCCTGGGCGACACAGCAAGACCCTGTCTCAGAAAAGAAAAACAGAAAAAAAGAGTGTAGTGCCCCAAACAGTGGAGTAGAATCGAGAGATAGCAGCAGTAGAACTTCCATGTCAGGTGGAAGGGAAGAATGAGGGCAGCACCTAGACCCTTGCACAGGAGTGCAGCAGGAGGGACAGATTTGGGAAGCAGTGGAGAGTTCAGTTTTGGATGTGTGGGGTGCATGTGGAACATCCATGTGACATTTACAGAACATTTAATCTTTTTTTTTTTTTTTTTTTTTTTTTTTTT